AAGGTGATACTTACTAGTGTGAGAGGTTGAAGGATATAAATTCTTTTAAGGATCTTGATACATATGGCTACAATTGCTTTCCAGAAAGGTAGGCATCAGTCTGTACTTTTATAAATAGTGCAAGAAAGAACTATTTCACTGCTCCCTTCCAGCATTGACTGCTACACTTTTAAAAATAACTTTCTTTTTATCCTATTTTTAGAAATCTTCCCAATGAATGCCACATCTTATAAAAATAAGTAATTATCAAGATACAGGTGAAACATCTAGTAATAGGTTTTGTTTTTGTTTTTTCGGTATCACAAATTAAAAATATTCAGGAAAATGTTGACCAATTTGATTTTACTTAAGCTGTGAGACAGAAAAAAAGTATAGTGAGATAGGAGGCCTTCTAATTGGGGCTGTGAGAGATTAAAAGTTTTTCTTTTGGATGTAGTTTTAGTAATAAGTTGCTAGAATTATTTTGGACTCATGCTTCCTCAGAGACAGTTTGGCACTGGGGGCGGGGGGGGCGAGTTTTCCTCAAGCCTCTTAAGGTCCCTGTTTGGATCTGGAAATTAAACTGACAAAGACAGATTAATGGGAGAAAAGCATACACATTTATTTAATATAAATTTTTTGTGACATGGGAAGCTTCACAAGGAAATTAAGATGGGAAGAGATGGTTAAACCCGAGTGTTTCCATGCTAGGGTTGATGAAAAGTAATGTGGTAGAAAGTGGAAAATGATAGGACCTAGAATATCAGCTAAGTGTAGTAAACTGAGGGAAGCTTAGTAAGGCCTAGTCACTCAGATTCCTCTCTGTGTCCCTCTGTCTTTGGAGATACGGATGTTCCTTTCCTGTGGGTATAGGCAGGGCACCTCTCACATGAGGGTTTTATGACCTGCTTTGGGGGGAAGGTCAGAAAGTCCTTCTACTACATGCCATTTCCTTTAGTTTGACATATTCAGTATGCCAAGGAGCCATATTTTGGGATAGCATGTCCTGAATGCTGTCAGCACATACAAGTTGGAATAGTTGGCACATACAAGGTTAAAGGTCACCCTGGGTCAGATTTGATCTCACAAATGAGTAGACCTGCATTGTCCACTCTAATCTGAGATCTCTCATTATTCCCTGGAGAGGATCCCAGTTTGGATTATGGTGCTCATGTCCATTTACAGTTAATCTTTGTTTCCACCTCCAGCCCAAGGCATCACTTTTCTACTTTGTCTCTTCACATATTTGCCTTTTCTGGTTAAATGTGGCCACTATATGGCCTTTTGTGTCTAGGTTTTTTGTACTTAGTATGATTTTTTTGAGCTTCATCCTTGTTATAGCATGTATCAGTATTTCATTCCTTTTTATTGCCAAGTAATATTACATTGTGTATAAATGTGTGTATGTGTATATATATATAATATACATATAATATATATTATGTACATAGTATATATATATATATATATATATATATATATAAAATGCATTTTATTTATCCTTTAAGCAATTGACGGCCATTTGGGTTATTTCTATTTCTTGGCTATTACTATAATGTTATGAACATTTGCTTATAAGTCTTTGTTTGCAAGCATGTTTTCATTTCTCTTGGGTAGTTATCTAGGATTGAATTTTCTTGGTCATATGGTAAATTTATGCTTAACTTTTGATAAACTGCTCAACTGTTTTCAAAGGTGGCTGTAACATTTTGCTTTCCCACCAGCGATGCATGTGAGTGCTCATTTCTCCACATTCTTGACATTTGCTGTTATCTGTCTTTTTGATTACAACCATTTTAGTCAGTTTGGAGTGGTATTTCATTGTTTTAATTTGCATTTCTTTAACCACTAGTGATGTTGAGCATATTTTCATGTGCATATTATGAATTCATGTATCTGCTTTGATAAAATATCTATTCAATTTTTGTCCATTTTTAAGTGGGTTATCTTATTTTTGAGTTGTAAGAGTTCTTTGTGTATTCTGAATACAAATCCCTTATCAGATGTGTGATTTGCAAATATGTTCATGGTGTTCTTTTTTTCTAACGGCTTGGATATATTAGTCAGAGTAGGCTAGGTGATATTCCTGAAAAAAAGTTCAGTGGTTTTAAACATCAAAGTTATTTCTCATTCACATAAATTTTGTTATGGGTCCAGGCAACTCCCTCTTGCAGCTGTGTTCTAGGTGTTGGCTCACTGATGCATGTTGCCTTCAATACATGCTTCTATGTGCACCAAGGCAAAGAGAGTGTTGCAGACTCTTGCACTGGTGATGAAATGCTTCCATCCATATAAGGGACATGTCAGTTCTCCTCCCATTTCATTGGCTGAATGAATCATATGGCCATGCCTAACATCAAAGGGAGAAGGGCGATCCCTCCACATGGGATTGAATTGGCAACAAGGAATGTTGGTGAGCAGCACTACTGTTAGGGGAACCACTGACCAAAACCACCCGCCCTGGCCAGGCCCTACTGTAACCACTTGCATGAGTTATCTTACCACAGGAGGTCCTGGTAAGGAACATGGAACTAACAAGCTACCACCAACCAGAAGAATTCGGGAAAGGTCAAAAGGAGAGAGAAGATACCAGTCCATATGTCCTACAAACCTCCCAGAACCGTTCTCGCTGGAATCCATCTTTGCTGAGCCATGCACCCGCCACTGGGAAGGACCCTGAGTCAGAGTGATTGGCCAGAGACAACCCGGAAACTAACCCCATCACCATAAAACCCAAGACTGCGAGCCACGTGGCAGAGCAGTTCTCCTGGTTTCCCTTACCCTGCTGCTTTCCGCCCGAGCGCCTCTTCCCAATTAAGTCTCTTGTTTTGTCAGCATGTGTGTCTCCTCAGACAATTCATTTTTGAGAGTTAGATAAGAGCCCACTCTCGGGCCCTGGAATGGGTCCCCCTTCCTGCAACACTACTGTCTATTGTGTTGGGGGGGGGTGATAGGTAAGAAAAAATAAACAAATATATCTTCATATTTTTAGAAAGGTGTGAGTGCTATTAAGATGGAATAACAGGGTGATAGAATAATAACTGGGGGGACAAATTTAGACTGGGTGATCAGAAACAGTCTCCCTGAAGAGGGCTCATTTGAGCTAAGGCTCCAATGACAGCAATGAGCCAGTTAAGTGAATATCAGGGAGGAGCCATCCAGGTCATGACATAGAAACAGGGCGGGGGCGGTGGGGGGAGCAGGCAAGCCCCCTTGGTGGGGAAGTAAATTTTATTCAAAGTGCAATGGGAAAACAATGAAGTGTTCAGACAGGGATCAAACCTGATTTACATTAAAAAAATATCATCCTGGGTGTGGTATCCAGAATGAATTGAACAAGGCCGAAGGCAAGGCGGAGGATGCAGTTGATCTGGGTGGTAGAGATAAAGTTGGAGATAGTGTGCAGTTTATGGAATGTACTAATGAGCTAAGGAAAAGAGGAATTAAGGAAGACAAGTGAGTTCTGAGTTTAAGTTCCTCAGTGGGTGGTAGTGCTATTTACTGAGAGGGAAGAATGGGAGGAAGGTCCTATTAGGCTTCACATGCTTATCAGACATTCAAGCGGGCATTTAAGTGTAGGAATCTGAATATAAAATATAAATTGGGGAATTACATATAGATCTACCTCATTGTTTTAAAATCTTCACAGCCTTAGGCCTTAACAGATGTGCCATCGACCATATAATAAATAGTTCTATTTCATGGTTTAACTGGGTGGATCCCAGACTTTCCGAAAAAAATTATTGTATTACAAGCAATGCACAATTAAAATATCTGTACAGTATCTTAGTTCTACTCGTGCACTGTAACTTCAGTTCATTTCTGAAAGTGGAGTTGCTAATTCTAAGGATATATATGTATTTTTACTTTTTTTTTTCACTTTACATTTTTGAGAGGGGCCAAAATCCTTACACCTATCTGTGCTTGCAGCAACATTGTTGTTTCCTCATACTCTGGAAGACACTGGGTATTATCAGCACTTTTTAATTTTTGCCACTCTAATCATGGAAAAAGGGGATCCTGTTATGATTTCAATTTGTACTTCTTAGGAGTGGAATTGAACTTCTGCATACTAGCCAGCTATTTGCTTTTCTTACTCATGCTCTCTTTGACTTTTAAGCTATGTATGTAGATTCCCTGTGTCCCTGTGGTGCCAGACTTAGGAATCTGAGCGCCGGATGGCCAGGATGGTGAGCTCTCTTTTAGCAGGGACGTTTCATCCTGTGCCCTGCGCACCTGGCCACTGGTCCTGGACAGGGGACGAGAGGAGAAACAGGCGTGGTGCGGTGAGAACACAACTAGGGAGATAAAGATGGCATAGGAAGGACGATCCACTGCCCACAGGACAGACACAGCACCCGGAGAATCCCCGCATTCCAGCCGGGGAATATCCCACCCCCCAGACCTCTCTCCAGCTTGATTTCAAAAGTTGCGAAACTACCGAGGGCGTCCGGAGAGCAGCCGCCCCACGTCCGGGCTCTCATCCCGAGATCCCGAGGCCGCAGAACAGCGGGGTGGGGTGGAGGGGCTGTCTCCAAACGAGCGGGAACAGAAAACCGAAACCAAAACCCGTCAGCCAGCTCCCGCCGCGCCGCCCGCGCTCCGCTAGCTCTGGGCCCCGCCGGGCCGGCCGCCGAGGGCGCGTCTCTCTTCCGCCATGGCAAGTTGCTTTTGCTTTGGGTTTTGCAGGGCGGAGTGGTCCTCGTCCCGTCACCACGGTCCCCCAGGAGGACGCGGAGCCGGGCAGGACGGGCGAGGGTGCGGGGTGACCGGGGAGGCGCGGGGAGGGACCCCGAAGGCAAACCTAGCCCGGTTTTTCTGCACCTGTACGGGTGGCAGTTCCGCGTGCTTCACCGCAGGCCAGCTCCAAAGGGACGCATCGCCGCGGCCTCCTCCGGCACCTAGTGCCTGGTTGTCGGGGACACAGCTGTTTGGTCGACGAGTGGCCTCGCAGCCAGTGTTAAGGCTTAACTGTTGCCCTGCCACACTTTGGGAGCAGGAGAGGAGAGAATTGCCCAGAAATGGAGGCCACCGTTTCCTTTTGTAAAGAGCCAGCAAGAAGGATTCGAGCCAAGGACACAGTTGGGAAAGCAGCCTGACGTCTTAGCGGGAATTTTCTCTTGTGGCTTTAGTTCTTTCCCCAGACACAAAGGGCTCTGCGTTGTCACCATCTTTGCTGCCTAGCAAGAACAGTTAGCAAATTTAAGATTTAGGCTTCCGTGTACTTTGTATCAAGCGCTTAAAAGCGGTGGCAGGGCCTTCAATTCCCGGTCAGAAGTGCCCAAGCATTTGTGAAGTGCAAGTGCGACTTTGTTTACCGGTGGTGGTAACCGGTGGTGGTAACGGCAACGTGAATGAAAATAGACACCTAATTTTGAGAAAAGGAATGTAAGCGAACTCAGTGAATAAATTTAATTATCTCTCCCAAGTGCTTTTCTTACAAAAATAAACTCACAGTTTTTCTTTTTATCTTTTTGTTTTCTGATACTATGGTCAAAAGTCTCTTAAAATGTATCATTGATGCAGGGAAATTGCTGTCATTTTAATACCTGCCTACCAAAATGCTGCTCATGTTTCAAAATTCTGTATCTCCATATGGTAACTCTTGAAAGGGCTATCTCCAAGACCTCTCTTTTTCTTCTTAACAGTGGATAGAAGAGATTAATAGCCATCAAGGAGAAGTTTCTTTGATATCAAAGATAAATGTAAACATTTGAATAAAGGAATATGGTATTAGTATTGATGAGGGCAGAGGCGGAGTAAGATTTTCCGAATTTAAATTGATTTAAAGATTTTCTTTGGCACTGATGAGGAAAAGGAAGCTAACTCACTAGCCACTTATCCGTGGAGGCTGGTGTGGACTGTTAGAGCCAGATGTATAGTAAATCAAGACAAATCTCATGTGAAACAAAAATCCCCTTAAAGTCTCAAAAATCTGTCTTTTTTTTTTTCCTTTTCTAGAAAGAATTATTTTGGGATAATTACATCTTACCACTTGGGGCTAGGATGAACACATTTTTATATTTTTACAGTTTCCTGTGCAATTTATTTGTCCCTGAATATTTTAAGAAACTGTTTTCCTCCATTAAAAGTACCTCCCATAACAGAGTCCATAATTATTATGAGTTTCTTTTTCAGGAGACACTACCTTTGCTTTATATGTCTCAATATGAGCCATTTTCATCCTCCATTTCTCTGTCCCTTTGCTTTTGCTGTGAACTCTTTTGCATTTTTTTTTTTTTTTTATCAATTTTGTTGTTGTTGTTTTTGCGATACGCGGGCCTCTCACTGTTGTGGCCTCTCCCGTTGCGGAGCACAGGCTCCGGATGCGCAGGCTCAGCGGCCATGGCTCACGGGCCCAGCTGCTCCGCGGCATGTGGGATTTTCCCGAACCGGGGCACGAACCCGTGTCCCCTGCATCGGCAGGCGGACTCTCAACCACTGCACCACCAGGGAAGCCCTCTTTTGCATTTTTAATTAAATTTGACCATTAGTTAAAATTCGACCTCAGCCTTCAAGGTCTCTCTTTCATGAAGCCTTCTTTGACTGCTTTAGCCGGAATTAATCTTGCTTCCAATCCTAAGTGAACTTTATTGTGAATGGTCCTGTATGCTTCTCAGATTTTGGGGTGTTGGTCTGTTCTTGTAGAGAAGTAGACCTCCCTCTTTTTGTGCCTACCAAGCTCTGTTGAAATGATTTGTGTATGTGCCTGCCTCCTTCTCATCCATAACTTAGAGGCTCTTTTTGTGTGTGTGTTGGTAATCTTAAGGCCCATCCAGGTGCCCCGCACATAATAAATGCTCAGTAAATTTTTATGGTGGAACAATTTCAGGGTGAGGGGTGTGCTTTATGTCTTTGTATGTGTCATCTTTGGTACCCAGCATATTTCCAGATATAGAACACCTGCTTCTTTAATACTGTATTTGTTAATTGATTAACTAATTGACCAGATACTCTATATTCTAAGAAATGCAGGTACATTTTTGCCACCTTATTTTATAACCACCAGCTGAAAAGTCAGAGGAGATGCTGAGAGAGTGCATATCCTGGGGGCGGTCATCATTGACTTTAGGCATTTTCTATTATTGAATTCCTGCTATGATAAATGAGGATTTAACTCAAGTAACCTCTGACTTCTCCCACCTTTCAAGCTTGAAAGTTTTAGTAATATTTTTAAATTCTCCTGTGGACTATTTTTGTAACTTTCATAATATACTTAAAATTTTGATGGTATTACATGATTTTCAGTAATATAAGTATAGATTTTTCTTTCTATCTTTTTTTCTCAACTTGTTAGTTTTGCCTTTATTCTTACATTGACAGGGTTGAATGTTTCCATTTTATTCTATAATCATATTTAAGTCTTTGGTATTTTGAAGATTTAACAGAATTAGTCTAAAAGATAAAAACCAATGAGAGTGTCTATATTATTATGCAAACAGTAAATACCGTTTACAGCAGGGCCTAATAATAGTGTGCTGTGATTACTTTTTCTCCTTTTGGTCCAATGTCATGTGTATTTTTCCTTTTTCCACTTACAGAGAAATGTTCCTCGCAGCTGTGTCAAATAGAGTCTCTTTTTTTGGTATTCTATAATTTACTGAAAACATGCACACTTTAATTTACTTATGATCTTTAGGCTTGGGCCCTTTCAAATGCCAGGAAGTGGAGGGGGAGGGGGCTTGCTCTGGGGTGCCAGCACCCATACTAGCAGGTCAGATTCTCCCTAGAGTGTCCATTCAGTTTTGTTTTGCCACTAGCTTTTCAACTAATCTTTCTGGTTTTGGTCCCTTTTTTCATTTCGGAGGTTCTGCCATGAAAGTTGTCACCTTTCCATTGCAACCCCCTTTTCTTTATTCTGGATTCCCTCTGTCTTATCCTTCCACATACTTCGGTATCGTTTCCGTCTTCAAGAAATTGTTGATATCTCCCCTATGCTGCTGATTGCTCCCCTTAATTGTGTTTATTCTCTTTTTTATTCTAATACTTTCATTTTAAGATGCTTCTGGGTTAGAATGGACACTGTGTGTGCTTAGACTGTTTTCTTGATCAGGGAGGTCAGAAGCTGTTTGCCTATCCCCAGTGAAGTCCTACTCTGAGTATACAGAGTCCTCTGAACTGAAAACCGAAACATCTTTATGATCTATTAACCATTACTTGGATCTGTGAGACATCCTGTCGGCCCTGGGGGTAATTTAGGATAGATTATGTCTGAGCTCTGGTGTAATCAAGCTGGACTACCTATATATGCATTGGGAGAAGTTTATAGGTCCACTCCCCTAAATGAGCTGGGGAACAAATTAAAACCTTAATACAAGAAGTTCACAGAGAGTGAGCCCAGGGAAGGATCTACTTGCACTTGGTCCTCTGTTCCCAGAGTGGCACAGTCTACAATAGCATGTGCTCTCAGTGGTTGAATTCTATTTCAGGTATGTGGTGGAAGGCAGGGTTTACTTCACTGTAGCTCCAATGTTATTTCCAGGGTTTTATTTTTTTATGGTGAATTTTTCCTAATTTTACCCCCCCAAAGAAAGAAAGAAAAGAATGATTTTTATTACCTTATGTACTTTCAACTCTACAATCAAGAAAACATACAGCCAACTCCAAACTACAAAATTTTGTGGTTACCTTGACTTTTTTTTCTTTTTTAACATCTTTATTGGAGTATAATTGCTTTACAATGGTGTGTTAGTTTCTGCTGTATAACAAAGTGAATCAGCTATACATAAACATATATCCCTATATCTCCTCTTGTGTCTCCCTCCCACCCTCCCTATCCCACCCCTCTAGGTGGTCACAAATCACCGAGCTGATCTCCCTGTGCTATGTGGCTGCTTCGCACTAGCTATCTATTTTACATTTGGTAGTGTATATATGTCCTTGCCACTCTCTCACTTCGTCCCAGCATACCCTTCCCTCTCCCCGTGTCCTCAGGTACGTTCTCTACATCTGCATCTTTATTCCTATCCTGCCCCTAGGTTCTTCATAAGCACTTTTTTTTTTTTAGATTCCATATATATGTGTTAGCATACAGTATTTGTTTTTCTCTTTCTGACTTAACTTCACTCTTTAATACACTCTAGGTCCATCCACCTCGCTACAAATAACTCAATTTCGTTTCTTTTTATGGCTGAGTAATATTACATTGTATATATGTGCCACATCTTTATCCGTTCATCTGTCGATGGACGCTTAGGGTGCTTCCATGTAACTGGCTATTGTAAATAGAGCTGCAGTGAACTTTGTGGTACATGACTCTTTTTGAATTATGGTTTTCTCAGGGTATATGCCCAGTAGTGGGATTGCTGGGTCGTATGCTAGTTCTATTTTTAGTTTTTTAAGAAACCTCCATACTGTTCCCCATAGTGGCTGTATCAATTTACATTCCCACCAACATTATAGGAGGGTTCTCTTTTCTCCACACCCTCTCCAGCATTTATTGTTTGTAGATTTTTTGCTGATGGCAATTCTGACAGTGTGTGGTGATACCTCATTGTATTTTTTTTTTTTCTTTTTTTTTTTTTTGCGCGGTAAGCGGGCCTCTCACTGTTGTGGCCTCTCCCGTTGCGGAGCACAGGCTCCGGATGCGCAGGCTCAGCGGCCATGGCTCACGGGCCCAGCCGCTCCGCGGCATGTGGGATCCTCCCGGACCGGGGCACGAACCCGTGTCCCCTGCGTCGGCAGGCGGACTCTCAACCACTGTGCCACCAGGGAAGCCCCTCATTGTAGTTTTGATTTGCATTTCTCTAATGATAAGTGATATTGAGCAGACTTTCATGTGTTTGTTGGCAATGTGTATATCTTCTTTGGAGGAATGTCTATTTAGGTCTTCTGCCCATTTTTGGATTGGGTTTTTGTTTTTTTTTATATTGAGCTGCATGAGCTGCTTGTAAATTTTGGAGATTAATCCTTTGTCAGTTGCTTCATTTGCAGATATTTTCTCCCATTCTGAGGGTTGTCTTTTCATATTGTTTATGGTTTCCTTTGCTGTGCAAAAGCCTTTAAGTTTCATTATGTCCCATTTGTTTATTTTTGTTTTTATATCCATTTCTCTAGAAGGTGGGTCAAAAAGGATCTTGCTGTGATTTATGTCATAGAGTGTTCTGCCTACGTTTTCCTCTAAGAGTTTGATGGAGTCTGGCCTTACATTTAGGTCTTTAATCCATTTTAAGTTTATTTTTCTGTATGGTGTTAGGGAGTGTTCTAATTTCATTCTTTTACATGTAGCTGTCCAGTTTTCCCAACACCACTTATTGAAGAGGCTGTCTTTTCTCCACTGTATATTCATGTCTCCTTTATCAAATATAAGTTGACCATATGTGCGTGGGTTTATCTCTGGGCTTTCTATCCTGTTCCATTGATCTATCTATCTTTCTGTTTTTGTGCCAATACCATACTGTCTTGATTACTGTAGCTTTGTAGTATAGTCTGAAGCCAGGGAGCCTGATTCCTCCAGCTCCGTTTTTCTTTCTCAAGATTGCTTTGGCTATTTGGGGTCTTTTGTGTTTCCATACAGATTGTGAAATTTTTTGTTCTAGTTCTTTGAAAAATGCCAGTGGTAGTTTGATAGGGATTGCATTGAATGTGTAGATTGCTTTGGGTAGTATAGTCATTTTGACAATATTGATTCTTCCAATCCAAGAACATGGTATATCTCTCCATCTGTTTGTATCATCTTTAATTTCTGTCATCAGTGTCTTACAGTTTTCTGCGTACAGGTCTTTTGTCTCCTTAGGTAGGTTTATTCCTAGGTATTTTGTTCTTTTGTTTTCATTGGTTAGCTTGACTTTTAAAAAAATTTTGATTTAAAAAATTTATATCTCGGGACTTCCCTGGCAGTCCAGTGGTTAAGACTTCCCCTTCCCATGCAGGTGGTCCCTGGTCAGGGAGCTAAGATCCCACATGCCTCAGGGCCCAAAAACCAAAACATAAAGCAGAAGCAATTTTATAACAAATTCAACAAAGACTTTAAAAATGGTCCACATCAAAAAAAAAATCTTAAAAAAAATTTATATCTTAATCTTTTCCTTTGTGATTACAATTATTTTTAGGTCTTTCTAAAATCAGACAAATGTTAACCAGTGTTTTCCATTTATTAAAAAAAGGGGTTTCCTTTTTACATTTTAACTCTCAAATTTATATAGAGTTTATGCTGGCATATGGTATGAGGCCAGGTTCTAACCTTAATATTTGTTTTCAAGTATCGAATCAATTGCAAGAGCGCCTTTATTGAATAAAATAGCTTTTCCTACTGGTGTGTAACATTGCCTATATTTAGCAGAATCCTATATATTTGAAGAGTATCCTACTGTGTTTTTGCAGGCATCAGTTTTGAAGGTCAAGGAATCCGAAGCTTCTGAAAGAACAATTGTAGTTGCTGGTCTTCCAGTTGGTTCCATTAATGATCAGTCACTGACCATATTAGTGAAGAGTCACTTTCAAGATATTGAGAATGAGGGTGGAGTTGTTGAAGATGTGATATATCCAACAAGAACCAAGGGAGTTGCATATGTAACATTCAAAGAAAAAAAAGGTATTTCCCAATCAAGTTTTTATAATCTTAGAAACACTTCTGTAATAAAATTAAAAATTGAATTTCATTAAAATAATTCATGGGACTGGTAAAGTTTAAAGTGTATTTAAAAAATAATAATTCTATTTTTTTAAACATCTTTATTGGAGTATAATTGCTTTAAAATGGTGTGTTAGTTTCTGCTTTATAACAAAGTGAATCAGTTATACATATACCTATGTCCCCATATCTCTTCCCTCTTGTGTCTCCCTCCTTCCCACCCTCCCTATCCCACCCCTCTAGGTGGTCACAAAACGCCAAGCTGATCTCCCTGTACTACGCGGCTGCTTCCCACTAGCTAGCTATTTTACGTTTGGCAGTGTATGTATGTCCATGCCACTCTCTCACTTTGTCTCAGCTTACCCTTACACCTCCCTGTATCCTCAAGTCCATTCTCAAATAGGTCTGCGTCGTTATTCTCATCTTGCCCCTAGGTTCTTCATGACCATTTTTTTTTTTTATATTCCATATATATGTGTTAGCATATGGTATTTGTCCTTCTCTTTCTGACTTACTTCACTCTGTATGACAGACTCTAGGTCCACCCACCTCACTACAAATAACTCAATTTCGTTTCTTTTTATGACTGAGTAATATTCCACTGTATATACGTGCCACATCTTCTTTATCCATTCACCTGTTGTTGGACGCTTAGGTTGCTTCCATGTCCTGGCTATTGTAAATAGAGCTGCAGTGAACATTGTGGTACATGACTCTTTCTGAATTATGGTTTTCTCAGGGTATATGCCCAGTAGTGGGATTGCTGGGTCGTATGGTAGTTCTATTTTTAGTTTTTTAAGGAACCTCCATACTGTTCTCCATAGCAGCTGTATCAATTTACATTCCCACCAACAGTGCAAGGGGGTTCCCTTTTCTCCACACCCTCTCCAGCATTTATTGTTTGTAGATTTTTTGATGATGGCCATTTTGACTGGTGTGAGATGATATCTCATTGTAGTTTGGATTTGCATTTCTCTAATGATTAATGATGTTAAGCATTCTTTCATGTGTTTGTTGGCAATCTGTATATCTTCTTTGGAGAAATGTCTATTTAGGTCTTCTGCCCATTTTTGGATAGGATTGTTTGTTTTTTTGATATTGAGCTGCATGAGCTGCTTGTAAATTTTGGAGATTAATCCTTTGTCAGTTGCTTCACTTACAAATATTTTCTCCCATTCTGAGGGTTGTCTTTTGGTCTTGTTTATGGTTTCCTTTGCTGTGCAAAAGCTTTTAATGTTCATTATGTCCCATTTGTTTATTTTTGTTTTTATTTCCATTTCTCTAGAAGGTGGGTCAAAAAGGATCTTGCTGTGATTTATGTCATAGACTGTTCTGCCTATGTACTTCTCTAAGAGTTTGATAGTGTCTGGCCTTACATTTAGGTCTTTAATCCATTTTTTGTTTATTTTTCTGTATGGTGTTAGGGAGTGTTCTAATTTCATTCTTTTACATGTAGCTGTCCAGTTTTCCCAGCACCACTTATTGAAGAGGCTGTCCTTTCTCCACTGTATATTCTTGTCTCCTTTATCAAAGATAAGGTGACCATATGTGTGTGGGTTTATCTCTGGGCCTTCTATCCTGTTCCATTGATCTCTATTTCTGTTTTTGTGCCAGTACCATACTGTCTTGATTACTGTAGCTTTGTAGTATAGTCTGAAGTCAGGAAGCCTGATTCCTCCAGCTCTGTTTTTCTTTCTCAAGATTGCTTTGGCTATTCGAGGTCTTTTGTGTTCGCATACAAATTGTGAAATTTTTTGTTCTAGTTCTTTGAAAAATGCTAGTGGTAGTTTGATAGGGATTGCATTGAATGCGTAGATTGCTTTGGGTAGTATAGTGATTTTCACAGTGTTGATTCTTCCAGTCCAAGAACATGGTGTATCTCTCCATCTATTTGTATCGTCTTTAATTTCTTTCATCAGTGTTTTATATTTTTCTGCATATAGGTCTTTTGTCTCCTTAGGTAGGTTTATTCCTAGATATTTCATTCTTTTTGTTGCAATGGTAAATGGGAGTATTTTCTTAATTTCACTTTCAGATTTTTCATCATTAGCGTATAGGAATGCAAGAGATTTCTGTGCATTAATTTTGTATGCTGCTACTTTACCAGATTCATTGATTGGCTCTAGTAGTTTTCTGGTAGCATCTTTAGGAATCTCTATGTGTAGTATCATGTTATCTACAAACAGTGACAGGTTTACTTCTTCTTTTCTGATTTGGATTCCTTTTATGTCTTTTTCTTCTCTGATTGCTGTGGCTAAAAATTCCAAAACTATGTTGAATAAGAGTGGTGAGAGTGGGCAACCTTGTCTTGTTCCTGATCTTAGTGGAAATGGTTTCAGTTTTTCGCAATGAGGATAATGTTGGCTGGGGGTTTGTCATATATGGCATTTATTATGTTGAGGAAAGTTCCCTCTATGCCTACTTTCTGGAGGGTTTTTATCATAAATGGGTGTTGAATTTTGTCAAAAGCTTTCTCTGTATTTATTGAGATGATCATATGGTTTTCTCCTTCAATTTGTTAATATGGTGTATCACATTGTTTGATTTGCGTATATTGAAGAATCCTTGCGTTCCTGGGATTTACCCCACTTGATCATGGTGTATGATCATTTTAATGTGCTGTTAGATTCTGTTTGCTAGTATTTTGTTGAGGATTTTTGCATCTATGTTCAACAGTGATATTGGCCTGTAGTTTTCTCTCTTTGTGACATCTTTGTCCAGTTCTGGTATCAGGGTGAAGGTGGCCTTGTAGAATGAGTTTGGGAGTGTTCCTTCCTCTGCTATATTTTGTAAGAGTTTGAGAAGGCTAGGTGTTAGCTCTTTTCTAAATGTTTGATAGAATTTGCTTTTGAAGCCATCTGGTCCTGGGCTTTTTTTTATTGGAGGATTTTTAATCACAGTTTCAATTTCAGTGCTTGTGATTGGTCTGTTTATATTTTCTATTTCTTCTTGGTTCAGTCTCGGAAGGTTGTGCGTTTCTAAGAATTTGTCCATTTCTTCCGGGTTGTCCATTTTATTGGCATAGAGTTGCTTGTAGTAATGTCTCATGATTCTTTGTATTTCTGCAGTGTCAATTGTTACTTCTCCTTTTTCATTTCTAATTCTATTGATTTGAGTCTTCTCCCTTTTTTTCTTGATGAGTCTGGCTAATGGTTTATCAATTTTGTTTATCTTCTCAAATAGCCAGCTTTTAGTTTTATTGATCTTTGCTATCGTTTCCTTCATTTCTATTTCATTTATTTCTGATCTGATCTGTATGATGTCTTTCCTTCCGCTAACTTTTGGGTTTTTTGTTTCTTCTTTCTCTAATTGCTTTAGGTGTAAGTTTAGGTTATTTGAGATTTTTCTTGTTTCTTGTGGTAGGATTGTATTGCTATAAACTTCCCTCTTAGAACTGCTTTTGCTGCATCCCATAGGTTTTGGGTTGTCTTGTCTCCCATTGTCATTTGTTTTTAGGTATTTTTTGATTTCCTCAGTGATCTCTTGGTTATTAAGTGGTGTGTTGTTTAGCTTCCATGTGTTTGTATTTTTTACAGATTTTTTTTCCTGTAATTGTTATCTAGTCTCATAGCATTGTGGTTGGAAAAGATACTTGATATGATTTCAATTTCTAAAAATTTACCAAGGTTTGATTTGTGATCCAAGATATGATCTATCCTGGAGAATGTTCCATGAGCACTTGAGAAGGAAGTGTAGTCTGTTGTTTTTGGATGGAATGTCCTATAAATATCACTGGAGTCCATTTTGTTTAATGTATCATTTAAAGCTTGTGTTTCCTTATTTATTTTCGTTTTGGATGATCTGTCCATTGGTTAAAGTGGGGTGTTAAAGTCCCCTACTCTGATTGTGTTCCTGTGGATTTCCCGTTTTATGGCTGTTAGTATTTGACTTATGTATTGAGGTGCTCTTCTGTGGAGTGCATAAATATTTACAATTCTTATATCTTCTTCTTCGATTGATCCCTTGATCATTATGTAGTGTCCTTCTTTGTCTCATAATATTCTTTGTTTTAAAGACTATTTCATCTGATATGAGAATTGCTACTCCAGCTTTCTTTTGATTTCTATTTGCGTGGAATATCTTTTTCCATCCCCTCACTTTCAGCCTGTATGTGTCCTTAGGTCTGAAGTGGGTCTCTTGTAGACAGCATATATATATGGGTCTTGTTTTTGTATACATTCAACCAGTTTATGTCTTTTGGTTGGAGCATTTAATCCATTTACGTTTAAGGTAGTTATTGATATGTATGTTCCTATTACCATTTTCTTAATTGTTTTGGATTTGTTATTGTAGGTCTTTTCCTTCTCATGTGTTTCCTGCCTAGAGAAGTTCCTTTAGCAGTTGGTGGTGTTTTGGTGGTGCTGAATTCTTTTAGCTTTTGCTTGTCTGTAAAGGTTTTAATTTCTCTGTGAAATCTGAATGAAATCCTTGCTGGATAGAGTAATCTTGGCTGTAGGTTTTTCTCCTTCATCACTTTAAATATGTCCTGCCAGTCCTTTCTGGCTTGCAGAGTTCTGCTGAAAGGTCAGCTGTTAACCTTATGGGGATTCCCTTGTGTATTATATGTTGTTTTTCCCTTGTTGCTTTTAATATTTTTTCTTTGCATTTAATTTTTGGTAGTTTGATTAATATGTGTCTTGGCATGTTTCTCCTTTGGTTTATCCTGTATGGGACTCTGTGCTTCTTGGACTTGACTATTCCCTTTCCCATATTAGGGAAGTTTTCAACTATAATCTCTTCAAATATTTTCTCAGACCCTTTCTTCTTCTCTTCTTCTTCTGGGACCCCTATAATTCGAATGTTGGTACATTTAATGTTGTCCCAGAGGTCTCTTAGGCTGTCTTCATTTCTTTTCATTCTTTTTTCTTTATTCTGCTCTGCAGTAGTTATTTCCACTCTTTTATCTTCCTGGTCAATTATCCGTTCTTCTGCCTCAGTTATTCTGCTATTGATGCCTTCTAGAGAATTTTAAATTTAATTTATTGTGTTGTTCATCTCTGTTTGTTTGCTCTTTAGTTCTTCTAGGTCTTTGTTAAGCATTTATTGTATTTTCTCCATTCTACTCCCAAGATTTTGGATCATCTTTACTATCATTATTCTGAATTCTTTTTCAGGTAGACTGCCTATTTTCTCTTCATTTGTTTTGTCTGGTGGGTTTTTGCCTTGCTCCTTCATCTGCTGTGTTTCTCTGTCTTCTCCTTTTGCTTAACTTACTGTGTTTGGGGTCTGCTTTTCGCAGCCTGCAGGTTCGTATTTCCCGTTGTTTTTGGTGTCTGTCTCCAGTGGCTAAGGTTGGTTCAGTGGGTTGTGTAGGCTTCCTGGTGGAGGGGACTAGTGCCTGTGTTCTGGTGGATGAAGCTGGATCTTGTCTTTCTGGTGGGCAGGTCCACTTCTGGTGGTGTGTTTTGGGGCATCTGTGGCCTTTTTATGATTTTAGGCAGCCTCTCTGCTGATGGATGGGGTTGTGTTCCTGTCTTGCTACTTGTTTGGCATAGGGTGTCCAGCACTGTAGCTTGGTGGTCGTTGAGTGGAGCTGGGATTGAGATGGAGATCTCTGGGAGATTTTCACTGTTTGATATTATGTGGAGCTGGGAGGTCTCTTGTGGACTGGTGTCCTGAACTTGGCTCTTCCACCTCAGAGACACAGCCCTGACGCCTGGCTGGAGCACCAAGAGCCTTTCATCCACACAGCTCAGAATAAAAGGGAGAAAAAGAAGAAAGAAAGAAGATAAAATGAAGTAAAATAAAATAAAATAAAGTTATTAAAATAAAAAATAATTATTAAGAAAAAAAATTTTTTAAGTAAAAAAGAAAACAAAACAGAGAAACGGACAGACAGAATCCTAGGAGAAATGGTAAAAGCAAAGCTATACAGGCAATATCACACACAGAAGCATAGACATACACAGTCACAAAAAGAGAAATAGGGGAAAAAAATATATATATATATTATTGTTCCCAAAGTCCACCTCCTCAGTTTGGGATGATTTGTTGTCTATTCATGTATTCCACAGATGCAGGGTACATCAAATTGATTGTCGAGATTTAATCCGCTGCTCCTAAGGCTGCTGGGAGAGATTTCCCTTTCTCTTCTTTGTTCGCACAGCTCCTGGGGTTCAGCTTTGGATTTGGCCCCGCCTCTGCGTGTAGGTCACCTTAGTGCGTCTGTTCTTCGCTCAGGCAGGACGGGGTTAAAGGAGCATCTGATTCGGGGGCTCTGGCTCACTCAGGCTGGGGGGAAGGAGGGGTACGGCGTGTGGGGCGAGCCTGTGGCGGCAGAGGCCAGTGTGACGTTGCACCAGCCTGAGGCGCGCCGTGCGTTCTCCCTGGGAAGTTGTCCCTGGATCACGGGACCCTGGCAGTGGCGGGCTGCACAAGCTCCCGGGAGGGGAGGGGTGGAGAGTGACCTGTGCTTGCACACAGGCTTCTTGGTGGTGGCAGCAACAGCCTTAGCGTCCCATGTCCATCTCTGGGGTCCGCACTGATAGCCGCGGTTCCCAACCGTCTCTGGAGCTCCTTTAAGCAGCGCTGTGAATCCCCTCTCCTCGCGCACCAGGAAACAAAGAGGCAAGAAAAAGTCTCTTGTCTCTTCAGCAGCTCCAGACTTTTCCCCGACTCCCTCCCGGCTAACCGTGGCGCACTAACCCCTTCAGGCTGTGTTCATGCTGCCAACCCCAGTCCTCTCCCTGGGATCTGACCTCCGAAGCCCGAGCCTCAGCTCCCAGACCCTGCCTGCCCTGGCAGGTGAGCAGACAAGCTTCTCGGGCTGGTGAGTGCTGGTCGGCACCGACCCTCTGGGTGGGAATCTCTCCGCTTTGCCCTCCGCACCCCTGTTGCTGTGCTCTCCTCCATGGCTACGAAGTTCCCCCCTGTCCGCCACTTGCAGTCTCTGCCCTCAAAGGGGCTTCCTAGTGTGTGGAAACCTTTCCTCCTTTACAGCTCCCTCTCACTGGTGCTGGTCCCGTCTCTATTGTTTTTTTTTCTTTTTGCGCTACGCGGGCCTCTTACTGTTGCGGCCTCTCCCGCTGCGGAGCACAGGCTCCGCACGCACAGGCTCAGCGACCATGGCTCACGGGCCCAGCCGCTCTGTGGCATGTGGGATCCTCCCGGACTGGGGCACGAACCCATGTCCCCTGCATCGGCAGGCAGACTCTCAACCACTGCGCCACCAGGGAAGCCCCCGTCCCTATTCTTTGTCTCTGTTTTTTCTTTTTTCTTTTACCCTACCCAGGTAGGGTAAGTTTCTTGCCTGTGGGGAGTTTCTTGCCTTTTGTGAGGTCTGAGGTCTTCTGGCAGTGTTCAGTAGGTGTTCTGTAGGAGCTGTTCCACCTGTAGATGTATTTCTGATGTATTTGTGGGGAGGAAGGTGATCTTCGCGTCTTACTCTTCCGCCATCTTGATGCTCCTCCTCAATAATTCTATTCTTGAGTATAAAAGTGGCACAGTAGTGTGTTAAGCAAGAATAAATGTGAAAATGTCGCATGATAGAGTTGTCAATAACTGGCAGTCTTAAAGACTTCTTTTTTTCTATATTTTAATTCTGTCTATATCTTGGGATAAAGGTGACATGTTTTACTGTAGAAAATTTGTAAAATACAGAAAAAAACCCTCCAAAAGTTATCTATAATCTCACAAAAATGGTAAATACTTGGACAATTTTGAGGTGGCTTCAGCAATATAATTATACCATTTGCTTCTCTTTGATCAAACCAACAAATGGATATTCTCATATAGTATCTGCTTTATTACTGGGAAAGTTGGACTGAAGATATATGGCTTGGATCTGAGGTCAGAGTGAGCCATTCTGTTCCCCACCTCCAACCTGACATAAGTGAGGAAGTTGGGTCTGCAGAGCTATTCACCCCTCCAGCCTCATGGATGGGGCTGCCTTCGGTGCAGCACAGTGGCTGGTAGAATAAGTTACCAAAGAAAGGTGAGTCTCCATGCCAGCCTTTTGGAGGTAAAAGTACTACATAAGAGTAGGAGCAGAAGAGACCTTGCTCTGCTTGAGGGAAGATAGGGTCCAGAGAGAGATCCAAAAGACTGTGGGTTATCAGTACCTTTATGTCTCACCATTAGTTATGTCATTCCTTCTCAATGGGGATGTTCAGGTAAGGGATGGCGGGAAGGGCTCCTTATTATTTCTCTAAGGGGAACGTAGAAGTTAATAATTTTATATTATTGAGGGAAATTATTAGTATTGTGTATTGCATTGGTTAACTCAGAGAAAGAGAGGGCTCATTCATTCATTTATTCCCAAGTATTTATTGAGTGCCTATTATTTTTCAGGCACCATTCTAGGCCTTGAGGTTATACGGCAATGAATGAAATAGGCAAAATGTTTTTTTTTCATGAAGCATACATCTGTGGAGAGATAATAAACAAGCCAATAAATGAATATATAATTGTTGTGTGCTTTATTTATTTGTATATTTATATATACTTATATATTTATACATATTAATATATAATATGGTGCTATAAAAAATATAAAGAAGAATAAAGGGATAGAATGTGATGGATAGTGCTACTTTAGGTAGAGTGGGTAGGAAAATACTCTGTTTAGGTGACATTTGAACAGAGACTTGAATGAAGTAAGGGAATGACTCATGCAGATAAGGGGGAGGAAAATTCTAGGCACAGGGAAGGACTGGGAAACATTCTCTGCGGGGCAGCCTGCTGGGCGTTCTGAAGAGCAGTGGGGAGGTTCGTGTGACTGGAGTGGAATGAGCAAGGAGGAGAGAATAGGACATGTGGTTAGATGGGCAGCTGGGACCAGGTTATGTTTAGGAGCACATGGGTCAAAGCAAGGTGTCTGGATTTTATTCTAGGTGACATGGGAAGCCATTGGAGGGTTTAAGCAGAGTACTGACAGAATGTGATGGCCTTTTTTAACGTGATCCATCTGGCAGCCATGTGGAGAATAAAAGCTGCTAGTCGGTGCTGGTTTTGACTAGGGTGGTAGCAGGGCAGGTGATTGAGAACTGGTGGGTGTTCAGAATTTGTAGATGGACTAAGTGTCATTTTCTGAGATGCTGAACATGGGAGGAAGAGTACTTTTGGAAGGGAGCTAGTTATTAAGAGTTGAATTTTAGTCATTGAGACGTCTATTCAGATAATGAAGTAGAGATTTCCACAGGCAGAAGGGAGAAAGGTCGATGTTGAAGAAAGGATTTTCGAGGTGATACGTAGAGAGATGATGTCTAAAGCTGTGGAAATTGTTGACATCACCCAGGGGGTGGGTGTAAGGTTAGCAAAGAGGTGTGAGGCCTGAGGCGGCGGGGCAGGGGGGTGGGAGGGGGCATGCCAAAGCCTAGAGAATGGGGAGAGAAGGATAATTAGCGAAGGAGACTGAGCAGGTCAGCCAGTGAATTAGAGGAAAACAAACCAGGACAGTGTTATATCCTGGATTCAAAAAGGTGAAGTCTCCTCATGACCATAATTAACAGAGTGGTGGGGGATTTACTTTTAGGTGTTTGTTATGTGTTATATATAACATACAAAACATGCAAGTGTTTTACGTATGTATGTATACATATATATGTATAAATTTTAATGTGTTAAAGTAGAAGGAAAAACTATGTAAATGCTGAATTTAGAGGAAACACAGAAAAAATCTTAGGTATTTTAAAAGAATTGAACATCTCTATTATTATTAATTAAAATAATTATTAGTGTATTGTGCCACAAACACTTCTGGTGGCCTTTTTTCCACTTAGTTGCAGAGAATGTCATCAGAAAAAAGAAACACTATCTAGCAGAGGTGGTCAGACCCGCTCAACTCACCGCTCAACTCACCGTCTCCCATTTTAGTGAAAAGGTAAGTGAAATGCTGATTATCTGGGTCCCATTTCTTCTGCAGAGTATCTCCTCTACATAGGAGGCACAAAGCACCCTCATCCCATGACTTCTAGAAAAGAGAGTGTAAACTCCTGTTAACCTGAGTCGGTGTTAAAGGTCAAACCTGTGTCTTGAAATTTTTTGGTTATTGCCTGGTCATTTTTATGTTTCTCTATGACCCTCTTAATGCTTTTAAAGTGACAGTGAGCTTTTTTGATGTCATGGATGATGTCAGGCATCTACCTAAAGACTTCTTTTGTGGGGGAAAAAACAATTAGGATGAACATTAAAAAGGAGCTTTGAAGACACAGTTAAGGTGGAAGTAAGAGGAAAAAGTAAAATTCAAAGCATTGGTTTAAAACTTTATTCTGTAAGAAACCTAGGGTTCTGTGCAGCCATCTGAGGAACTTCTAACTCGGAGGGCTCTCTACGGGGACCCCTATCCACAGAGCAGAACCAGAACAGTGTATTTCTCTGGGTTCTGCTTAAGACTTTGTTTCAAAAAAGCATTCTGCCTCTGAAAAAAATATTTGACCACCTCTATTTAGGGTAATCCAGTGAGAAATGTGAATCCCAAATCGAACACTGTGGGCTTGATAGGGTTGTGGCATCCATCTGATGGGCAGCTATGGCGCAAGAAGCCAGCTGTGCTAGGCAGTTGAGGCCTGGTTTAGGGGCTACTGCAGGGGAGACCAAGAAAGTGGCAGAAAAAGAATGTGTTTATGTAGTCTGCTCCACTAGGTGGTGCTGTTTTAATTTCTCTGTTTAATTTTAGGTCTTCAGCTCTGTAAATGCTGTCCTTGATCTTTCTGTTTTTCGGAGTCAAATTGGTCTGAGAAGTCTGGTAATGGACCTGAAAAGGGAAATCCCAGCTTTATGCTTCAGTCCTTTGGAAGCCAATGGAAGAATCTCCGTTCAAGGATCATTTCTGACTATCAAGAAGCTCAAAGAATCTTTGCTATTAAAAGCAAGTTCTCTTTTAGAAAAAAACAGGGATAGACAGAGCCCCAGAGGGAGTACATGGAAAAGTAGTCACTCTTTAAAGCCACCCAGGTCCTCAACACCTGAGACTATGAGAAGAGGAGAAAGGCTTGTTCTCGACACAGATATTTTCCTTTACCTGAAAAAGACGAGCAGATTTTATGAAAGCACACTGAAAAAATTTCATGTTCTATGTCAAGAGAGAGTGGATGGTGAAATTACCACACTTTGTATAAGGAATGCTCAAGGTGGTTCTCAGCCAAACAATGAAGAACAGGTAAAAGAGCTCATTGAGAAATATTCACATGCTCTTCACTTCGAGCTTAGAAAGGAGACATTTATTTTGGAAGGAAAGGAAAATAGAGAGAAAAGAAATATTAAGCTGGCATGTGAGCAACTAAGTTCAAGGTACCTTCAGGTTCTGGTTAATTTTTATTATACGCACATTGACATTATAGGATCTTCTTCTGACACGTACTTGTTTAAAAAAGAGGTCATGAAATTAATAAGGCAGAAAGTTAGGTAATAAAATCCTCAACAATAGTAACAAGAATGGCTGCTTCCTTCCCTTACTGAGCAGTGGTGATGTCATGAGTGATCCCAGCTTTACAGACATTATCTCATTTAATTTTTTTTTTTTTTTTTTTTTGGCTGCACCGCACAGCTTGCGGGATCTTAGTTTCCCAACCAGGGATCAAACCTGGGCCCCCTGCCGTGGAAGCATGGAGTCCTAACCACTGGATGCCAGGGAATTCCCTATCTCATTTAATTCTTGTGACCATCTTTCATCACAGGCATTTCCATCCTCATGTTATAGGGAAGAAACTAGGATTTGAATAGGTGAAAACACTTGTCTGAAGTTATCTACCTGCCCATCAGCAGGAGTTAAACCCAAAGATAATATCTGTGGTATAAAACTTCGAAAATTATAAAACTAAATTTAAAGAAACTTCACTTTCTCTGCAACCCAAATTCTTAGAAAAAAGAGGTAGCCTTCATTCTAACATATAAGAAGTTTGGATGATTATTATGCCATTGGCAATTTCTTAACATTTACAGAATTTGTGTTTACTCCAAATAGAATTAGAATCCTAGCAAAACTCACTTGAGAAGCTACTTACATGGTATTTCTGATGCAGGTAGTCATTACTTGACCAAATCCCATATTAGTATAAGGCTACTGGACCTACAGAACATTTTTACTGCTGCTTACTTAACCTAAATACTTGCATAAAATGTTGGTTCTCCTGTTGGAATTATGAAGGGAGTATAGTGTCTATTTTATAATTGTATTGTAAAATTAATGGCATTTTAGGAATAAGATCATGGATAATAAGAATAATAGCAAACACTTACTTGCTAGGCATAGTTTTAAGTGCATTACATATCTTTACTCATTCAGTCCTGACAGCAGCCCTGTGAGGTAGGTGCTATCTTTATCCCCCTTTCACACATGAGGAAACTGGTGCCTAGTGATGTAATGTAACTTGCCCATGGCTCTGATTACCGAACGGTGCTTCTCCCTTTTGTAGTCTCTCACAATTCTACTTAAACAATTGAGAAATGTTTCCTTAAAGATGACAGAAGGATTTGAAAGTTCTTTACTGAAGGGTAGCCAGAGCTTGTAAGTCATTTGGTTGTCTGTGACTGACCTGCATTTAACTTAGCATTAAGCCAATTTTAAGTACTGGGGACACTGCAGAGACCCTCCCAGGATAATAAAATGATACATCTTGCTCATCTCAAAGTAAACAAACATGGTTATGATGATTTGAACTGTTTATATCAGTAGAAAAGCATAAGAAAAATCTATATGCTTTCATTTTTCTTAGCTACCTAAATCCCAAATATGTAAATGATTTCTATTTCTTTAAATATGTTATTTCATTTCTGTATGACTAAACTTTTTGCATGGGAAAATTCTCTGTATATGAAGTGTCCAATAAGGTATCTTTAAAAAGGTGTTTGACTTTCATTTTGCTTCTAGGGGTTTGTCTCAGTCTGGGTCCAGTCGGGAGAGAGAAGGCACACAGTAATTTGAACGGCGAAAGTTTAATATAAAGAATTATTAACTATGACGGGATTGGAATAATGAGGGATTGGCTCATAAGAAACAGAGAAAACTCTACCAGATAATAGGAGTAACAGATATAAGGAGTAGTTTAGACAGAGCACCCAGGGAGAACCTCCCCGGCCCACCCTACAGCCCTGAACTTAGATCCAGACTTTGCCGTAGGGTTTGTGCCAGGGAATCTTGCTGGAAATCCATCCTCTAGGGTACTGGAGGAATCTGTTTAGAAGGTGTCTCTCCAGCGACCCTCCGTTACAACATGCCTGAGGGGATTTCTGGGGGGAGCTGCTGGTGGCTGGGTGCTGCTGGCCATTTGGTACTATGGGTGCTCAGTGCTGGGGAGGCCTTGGGTTTAGGTGTTGGACACTGGAGCAGCTGCCCATGCTGCACGAGCCTAATGCTGGAGAAGCTGTGTGCACTGAAGAATATGCATATGGGGGACCCTTCCTCTGCCGGGGACCTGGATTCTGAGGAGCCTGCCAGTTGAACACACTGAAGGAGGAACAAGGCTCTTTCCTCCTGCAGTGCCTCTCCAGTAGTGCCCTCTGCTGAGAAAGCTTAATATCTTGCCAGCTACAAAGGAAGGATAAAGGGCCCAAATTTGTTTTTACTGAGTAGGCATATAGGATGAATTTAAAGCTCAGTCAATAAATTGATAACTGGCAGTTATATTTGATACCTACCAAGGCTTTCATTATTACCACAAATTTAATACCAATAGAATAGTCTTTCAGGGACTTCCTTGGCACAGTGGTTAAGAATCCACCTGCCAATGCCAGGGACACAGGTTCAACCCCTGGTCTGGGAAGATCCCACGTGCTGCGGATCAACTAAGCCTGCATGCCACAACTACTGAGCCTGTTCTCTAGAGCCTGCGAGCCACAACTGCTGAGCCCGTGTGCCACAGCTATTGAAGCCCGCGCACCTAGAGCCCGTGCTCCACGACAAGAGAAGCCACCGCAATGAGAAGCCCTCACACTGCAACAAAGAGTAGCCCCTGCTCACCGCAGCTAGAGAAAGCTCGCATGAAGCAACGAAGACCCAACGCAGCCAAAAATAAATAAATAAATAAATGAAAATAAAATCCTATTAAAAAAATAGTCTTTCAACAAAGAGCTGGATCAGAATAGTGAGGCTCATTCCTTGACTGGATAGACACTGAATGCTAATTGGTTTATGGGTATGAATATAGCATCTTCTGCTTGAGAAGATTATGTATTTCAGGTGTTTTACATATTGCTGTCCATTTTAGAGTTCATTTAACAGCACTGTCCTTATAGTATGCTAGTCATGTAACCAATTTCTATCCTTAATAAAAACTGACATTTTAATTTTCAAAATGGTAGTAATGATTTCTATTAAAATTTATTTTTGAAGGTTGCTGATGCTCAGGAAGATGATGTGAATTCTATCCTGTTCTAGCCTAAACCCTGTTGTGTGTCTGCCATTGGGAGAAAAACTTATCATTTACCTAGATAATAAGTTGGTACTTTTCAAAGAGGTTGCAGATGGTTAAGAAAGCCATTCTCAAGTTAAAAGAAGATGTGGGAGTTTCAGCTTATGATGAAAAGGAAGAGTGGGAGATAGTGTGGGAGAAAGGAGAGGCATTTTGAGTATGAAACTCATTCAGGGATTTTTGTTGAGCTCATCCTCTGGGTTCTGGAGACAACAGTGGGACGTAAGACAGAAATGTTCAGTGACTCCTTAGAAGTTACTTGCCTAGTCTGGCAGAGAAGACAGGCAAACAAGCCATTACAATAGTGCTTGCTATAGAAGTACTTGGGGTAGGGTTGGAGGGTCATTTCTTACCTGGGATATATTAGTCATTTCAATATTATCAGCATGAGCCTCAGAAAAAGACGGTAAGCATGAATTAAAGTTTTATTTACATTATTATTAAGGAGTAAACTAGCAGAACGACAAAACTCGTTCAAAAAGAAAGTAAGAAGTGAAATTAAAAAGTCAATAGGAAAATGCACGTTAGTAAAAATTGCTAAATTAGAAACAAAACTTGTTGGTGTTATAAAACTGATTTGGAAGGTTATTTTCTCTGCTAGACAGAAAAGAAAATAATCACACTTTATCGTTTTTTTAAGAAGTTATACTTTTACAGAGTTGTAAAATGTCATTGCCCATATCAACTGTGATACTAAGTGAAACGAACTTACATTCCTCAAAAGAGATGACCCACAAGGGGGCTTATTAGAGCTTGTCCAGCAGGGCATTAAAAGGTCACAGAATTATTTTTTGACTTCTGTGTTTTGAGTAGTTTTCTTTAACAGGCGCAAGAAGAAGCTCCCAGAGGCTGAGAGCCTGTGGATGGGTTAGTCCAATGATGGGATGAAAAGGCAGGACAACTCTTTGTTTGGCAGATGAATGCCAAGTTTGGGGATGGCTGAATTTTGATAGCTTAGTTTTTACAACTTTTAACTGAGGGACAAGATTCCTTGATTCCTCAGTAGAAGACTCACACACATAAAGGTGTAAAGGGAAGGAAACGTCAAATTTGCCTTGTGAATTTCTCCATATAAACCACGTTAGCGACAAGGTATGGAGTTTCGCAAAGATAGTAATTTAAGGAATGTAACTATCCTGCTAAGATTTCGTTACTCTAGATCATTTCCTGGTATAAATACTAGCCTAGGAAACTCGTGTGGGTACTCTTCCATATTCTCCACTCACCCCTTCTCTCCCATCTTTTACCTCTTCCAAACTGAGGGATTCTGAGAAAGTTCCTCACTCCTCTAGCTTCAGTGTTCTCTGCTGTAACCTGAAAATAATACCTATTTTGCAGGGCTCTTGTGAGTTTTAGAAAACATGTTACATAACAGATGTTCAAGAATAGTAGCAATAATCTTAAGAACTTGGTAATACCAACACCCCAAGAAAAGCTCCCTCTGCTTGGAATGCCTCATCTCAGAGCTGGCACCAGTATGTCATCCATGCTGGAGAACACAGAGTCGTTCTGGGATCCTTCCTCTTCTCTCCTTTTATATGGCCACAACCTTAGATCAGGCCTCTGTAATTTCTTGTCCAGTTTAGTGGGTTGAATAGTATTCCCTCAAAATTCATGTCTTCCTGGAACCTCAGAATGTGACTTTATTTGGAAATAGGGTCTTTGCAGATGTGGTTAGTTAAGAGTGATGCCCTAACCCGATGACTGGTGTCCTTATAAGAAAGGGAGAGGACGCAGAAACTCAGAGAAAACGAGGAGTAAGTTCATGTGATGACAAAGGCAGAGGGTGGAGTGATACAGCTGCAAGCCTAGGAAGGCCAAGGATGGCAGGGAGCCACTAGGAAGTGAAAGAGGCAAGGAAGAATTCTTCCCTGGAGTCTTCAGATGGAGTGTGATCCTGTCAACACTTTGATCTTAGACATCCAGCCTCCAGAACTGTGAGAGAATAAACTTCTGTCGTTTTAAGCCACCAACTTTGTGGTTATTTGTGATGGCAGCC